TATATTAGAAGAAATGAACATTATCTGTCACAGATTTCTATAGTGTTTTCATCTATTATTGCTTAACAAATTCTTTCATTAGCATTTGTATATTGTTTTTTCCTAGTCTAGTACATATTTGATAATTATGATTTTAGACATGCTAGTAACAAAATTATGGCAGGTTTGCTAAACTATTTAGAGCAACAATAAGGAAAAAAGTTGGTGCTCCCCAAACAGAAAAAAACAAAGCTAAGACATTATTGTTATAGAATTATACACTGTATGTAGAGAATGAAGAGAAAAACGTTCACCAAAGAAAGCAGAGTTAAATGTAATCTGAAGCAAAGCAAATCTAAGATGGTAGAGTATAAGAATATGAATTAAGATTCCAGGAACATGTTAAGTATAAATACATTAAAATGTAAAAAAAATTCACATAACAACAATAGGAATGGGTGAGAGCAAAGCTAAAATTCAATATGATGGAAAATAGATTATACTAAACAATTACTTTAAAACACACATAAACACAAACAAACAATATGGCTTAAATAAATTTAAGACAAACATAAATACACCTCTAAAAGGGACTTTTCAATCATCAGATACTTGACAAAAAAGAGTTTAAATGAAGACATTTTTCCTATTGAATGGTTGAAATAAGATCATTCTGATTCTATTCTACAACCTTATTTAACTGTTCTGTAATTTTTAAACAAAAGAAGGATATATTTGAACAGAAAAAATAGCACAAAAGGCTAAATCAACATGGCTTTAAAATGAAGTCGGCTGAATCAATTAATAAACTTTGGCATAGCAATATATAGTTTGTTAATTGTTCTTTGGCTGTAAAAGTTACAATATAATACATAATGAGAATGTAATGGATACTTTATCTGGGTTTTAGTAAAGCATGCCATATACAGTACTATACAATATCTTATGGTTAGAAGGCCAACATAAGATGTCTTGGACAATTAATACAATCAAATGGATCAAAAACTGGCTATCTAACCGTTTTAAGAGGGTAATCGTAAGTGGCAGTCCATCTAGTTGGGGAGAGATTTCCAGTGGGATCCAGGGATCGCAATTCGGTCCCATTTTGTTTTATATCTTTATAAAAGATCTGGAAGACAAAGTAGAGAATATGCTAAATAAATTTTTTAGATTTGACTACTTAGGGAATGGTGAGCAAAACTAGAACTAACATAGTAGTTGTAAATCAATTAACTCTAAATGTCTCTGAAATTGGATGATAGATTTTACATTCCATTATTTCTAAACATAGAGACAGAAGAAGGTAACAGAACATAAGAAACTCAACAGAAGGAAAAAGAATGTGACTTTGCTACATAGATCTGTGTCCTCTATCAAATATCTTTATGCTAATAGTATAGATCACATGACAAAATAGAAGGGGCTACACAATCTCACATGAAGCCTGATTATAAGTACTAAATATATAAGAACTTGGGAAAAATGAAAACAAAGAATGTGAAAGTCAAGTACAGGAAATTCAAAACCAAATATGGAGGAATAAGTTCCATTAAAGCCAATGAAATATTGCTGAAATATTGCTGAAATATTGCTGAAATATTGAAGTGGCAGTTCTTAACATACAAAATTCCTCTGGCAAATACTCAATATAATAGTCTTCGAACTATGTTTCCATGCAGTTATTTCCATGCAGGGTTAGCACAGAAAAATGGCACACTTAGAACGAAACAAAATGGAAATTCATAAAAAAAACATGGCAGGAGATTTTCCACATGAAAATACTGGAAATTCAAACTGTATATTATAATTTAATTCAGCAAATCAATGCATACATATTTTTGGGGTAGATTTATTGTGTTTTCAGATCTGAATTAAGAGTTTTAATTGAAACAAATACAAAAACTACATATTATTACACAGAAATTGTATAACAAATAAGAGCAGAATGTGAGGTAAAATAAACTTTGTTGCACTTGCCATCTTTTATAATGTTATATTATGTTATATCATTGATTTTATAGTGATTTCTTTGTTTCATTATTGTGAGGCATCCAAAATTATTTTAATTTTATTTGGCAGTCTTGGACTGTTTCCCAGTATTTCCCTTTTCTTAATATAGTTCTTTTAATATCAACAGATTTGATAACATTAATTTTAAAAGAGAATTTATCATTAGAAATCCATTCTATGTGCAAGACTCTGATTTTACTTGCCTATTCTTACATTTTAGGACTGGGTATGTTAAATTGTGTGATTCCAGTCCTTAAATATCATGAATTAACAAATGTTCCTTTTGTGCAAGGCAATGTTTAATATGAAGTTCTGTGTGCTATCTCATTGTGCTATATACTAAAAAAAGAAACCCTTATTATAACTATGCAAAATGTTGGTTTTTAAAAGAGTCTAGGAGTACTCGTATAATATCTTAAAGCAGTTATATCTTTTCCCAGGAAATAAACTGCTTTTGGTGTTCTTGGTGCTCCCAGGGCTGGGTTGTTTCTTTGTAGACATCTCACTACCCAGCTAGATAATAGTGTGTGGGGAGTTTGGTAGGGGCAGAAAACAGTACTCTAATTAAGCAACTGCCAAGGAGAAAACTACACTCTTCCAAAACCAGCAGGGCAAACTACTGCATAAAAATAGGTAGCAAACTTCACAAACACTTGCATTGATGGTGCTATATAGTTAGGTAATTAAATGTCTGTAAGCAAACAACCAAGTGCAAAGAGCACCAAGAATTTCACAATTCACTCCCGAGCTGCATATATTATCTTCTATTGAAAGATCTACCAGTTTTAGGTGTCCCCAATAGGTTCTAGATGTATGCCTATTGATGCTGCAAAGCACTTTCCTCCCCATGAAACTGAAGTACTTCATAGCTCATGTACTAATCTTCAACACTAGGCTGCTTCAGTTTATTAGACTATTACATATGTTTTAGCAGACATTTCAGTAACACATATGCTATTTTTAATGGTTTTCCTTTCAATCAAATGGTAGCATTCTCCCAACTGTCTAATCTAAAGAAAATAAAATGAAGAAAACTGTATTCTATACAGATACTGTCATCTTGATGGAATGGAGATCAGCTCTTGAGATTAAGTTTGAAAATATCTTTCCTTTGGTAAAGTCTGCTGCAATCACCATATAGTGCTGATGTTCTCAGTGTTTGCACATTCAGCTGAAAATTCTGGTATAGATGATTAAACTTAGGGTACTATAGAATCAGATTTGGCCAATGTATGAATACCAAGTCAATTAGGTTGCTTTAGAACAGTTTTGTGGCTCATTGAAATGAGATATCCCTCCAAAATAATTTGAAAGAAGCTTAAATTATTGTAAGACTTTAAGAAAACTTCAGAACTACGGAGCAGTTCAGAAAGGCATGGACCTTCTGAATGCTATTTCTTTATTGAAGTTTTGTTTCAACACTGCATACCTGGATGGGATGATGAGGTTGGGGGAAGTAATGGAATGACTAAAATTTAGGGCTCTGCATTAGTGGTGGGACTCAATTTTTTTTACGACCGGTTCTGTGAGCGTGGCTTGGTGGGTGTGGTAGGGGAAGGACACTGTAAAATCTCCATCAGAGGTGGTATTTCCCAGTTCTCCGAACTACTGAAAATTTTTGCTATCAGTTCTCCAGAACTGGTCAGAACCTGTTGATTACCACTCTGCTGTGCATGATGTGGAAATGCATCAGATGCATCAAATACTCTTTTTCTGGCCTCTGTATGACACTAAATCCCCCAAATGTTGCTGTTTAAAAGTCTCATTAAACTCTACAGAGGAAGATTTTTGAGTATATTTGCAAATCAAAATATTTACCATAATTGCTATCTATTAAAAATTCCTACAGGATATATTTACTTATCACGTAATACTTCTGAATCTACCTTTGCAAAATTTGACATGATTTCTTGCCATAGTGCAAATCTATAACATTATTTTTATAAACATTGTCCCTCAAGAGAGAACATTAATTAACATATTCTCCAAAACATTTAGAATTCAGTTTAGAGATGTAAAGCTTATGTCAATAGGCACTTTGTAATTTGGATTCCAAAGGATGAAGTCATAAATTAAATATTCATCTATACTATTTTTAGTTTTTTTGTTTTTCTAAATATTTATAAAAAATAAATATAGAGTTTATCTCTACATAAAATCTCTACAGAAATGTAGAAATTTTGAATTAAACTCAATCTTCTTCCTTCCTTTCTTTAATTTATATAGTCACCCATCTTACAAAAGAAATTCTGGGTAGCACATAACAATGAAATAAAACAACAATGTAAAAATCCACAGATATGTAAAAATCCATATTAATAAATATCATAAAAAAATCAAATATACAAACTCTATGTGATGTGAGAGATAACAGTGGCAACCTCAACAATAGAGGCATCTCAGAAAGTCTCCTGGGAGTCCCAGGCCTGACAACATAACCAGTCTTGAAGGCCTTTTGGATATCAAAATGGATATACATAAACTAATTTTGAAGCAAAGGACATTTCTTAAGGCAGGTGCCATTTAGAGAAGGCATGTGTTCTAGGACCCACCAAACGTAGGTTCCAAGTTGATGGGACTCTCTCTGCTAGATTTAATGGGGACAAGATGATAAGAAAGGGGAGAGATAGTCCCTCAGATATAGATATACTTTCTTTTGATACTTATTTTATTAGAGCAATTACTAATTGTGATATTGAATAATAATTGCACAACCTCAGTAATTATCTTTTTATTCATAGATACCATTTTTAAAATAAAAATATACCTTTGTTCTAAGTAAAATAAAAAGTATATAAGAAAACTAAATAATAATAATAATAAAATAAGCACAGACTACTGTTGATATATTTCTTAAAACAAGGAAATGAATATCTCTCTATCTATATTTGTAGACCTCTATATGCTGTATCATTGTTAAACAAAGCTATTTGTTTTTTTAAAATCATATTTTAGCCAATTTATAAGATGTTCTACAGGTAGTCCTTGACATGATCAAACATGGTTACAATGGCCTCGGAAATGGGGCTTTAGTGACTTTCAAACACTTTCAACTGATGTAAAATGTCACACTGCCACTCTGTGACTACATTTTAAGTGCTTGATAGTTGGCTTACATTTATGACCAGTTGCAATGGTTACATGACAGTGATTTGCTATCTTTGGGGGAGAGAATGGATTCAGACTTAAAAGCCACACGATCTGTTTAATGCCATGTGATTTGCATAACAACTGCCATGAAAATAGTTGAAAAAGCAGGTCTAATCACAGGATGCCATGACTTACTGATTAACAACTTATGGCTGAAATTTTGCTGCCCCTTATGATTGTAAATTGAGCATTGACTGTATTCCATAAAATCCCAAACATCAATCTAATAGGAGGAAGATCTGATTTACACAGAACACTATAATTAATTTTTTAAAAGCTGCATTCATTTTTAAGTTTGTAAAAGAGCCAAGTTCCCAAATAACTACTGTTATTCTTTTTAAATTAGGCGGTTTTCACTCCATTCTTTTTATATTTTCTTCTTCCATTGTTTTATTTCAGAATTTACATACTATTTTTCTACCCTGAGATCCTCACATTATTGCTTTGTTTATTATATTCTTTTGTAAGAATATGGTATAGAAGGCATCTATAGGTAATTTCTCAACCTAGCGGCTTTTAGCATTTTCAAACCTCAACCAGCCATTGTTGTGCCAAAATAAAAAGAATGAAAGTAAGCTACATTTTGGTAGATGGATACAGAAACAGGGTTTTTATTTTGTTTCATTTCGGCCTTTTATGCTATTTTGTTTGTATTTCATGGTGGTTAAGTGACATTAATAAAACATTCTAAGCCGTTACTGGAGCAATGCTCTTGTCTTCTGTTTCCTGCTTGGTTGTCAATTAAGAACAAGTCTTGTGTTCTAAAGATTCTATGATTCTTAGAAAATGATTGTCATCATTATAAGCCAGGATGAGCAAAAGTATTTGCAAAGGTGCTTTTTCAAGAGGCAAGTGGACTTTCTTTGTTGTTCCTTGAAGACGTTTCGCTTCTTATCCAGTTCTGACAGTCAGAATGGAAGCAGCTTTTTACATGAGAAGCAAAACGTCTTCAGGGTACAACAAAGAAAGTCCACTTGCCTCTTGAAAAAACACCTTTGGCATAATCACAACTTGAATGACTGAGAATTTCCATAGACATTGAGAAAAAGTTTTCATCTTTTTGATTTCTGGAAAGCAGTGTCTCCTTTGCCAACCGAGACATTTGCTGTTTTGCCTTTTGTTGCATATTGCAGAACACTATTTTTGCCCCTCCTTCTGCATAAGTCCTTTTTTCCAACTTCTACCAGACAAAAATAATGACCAAGCCAGCCAAAATTTCAGAATGTTAATTTGGGTAGAAAACTATTGTCGCTCCAGCAATTGCCCCCCTTGCTCTAAAATATTAGACAAAAAAAAAACAAAAAACAAAAAACTACAACTCAGAGAGAACATATGGCACCCTGAATTCACTGACACTTTGAACATTCATAGTAATAAAAAGGGAGATGTAAATTGTAATTAGTATTTTAATTTTATATGTATTTTGGGAGTCTAGTTCACTGGAGGAAATAGAATTTTCCTCAGAGTTAGCATTTGTAGCATATACTGAATATTATGGAAAATAGTTTTCAATATTTTGAAAATACTGAAATACATGAAATGGGCTAGACACCCAAAGAAATACAGATCTAGGTACAGTTCTAGCCATAAGTTATTTAAAGTTCTTCTATTAATTTTAATTTAATTCAATTTAAAGGTACCTACTTAAATCAGATTAACTGAATATAAATCTCTCTAAACTCCATGAAACTTAACTTTTTAAGTAAACGTGATTATATTGTGTAGTATATTTTAATTAACATAATTTATCAATGTTTTCTAGATTCTTTTCTTGTGAAAAGCCACTAATGAAAGCACTATATCATTTATACCGAAAATTGATGAATGCTAGCTTATCCTTCTCTTCCCTGCCTCTCTATACTGCATAATCTATTTTAATAAAACTATAAATATAGAAGCTAGCAAGAGAGATGTCTACGCTATTTAGTTGGTCATTATGCAATTTACCTTTGTCCACTTGTAATCAAATAAAATTATCACAGAACCACTATTATAATACTGGGGCTAGAAAAAAAGGAATTTAAAAAAGTCTAATCTGGAATTATACAAACTTCAATATATTTCTGATCTCTTTTCCTTAATTTTCATGCAAATACTGATAAAGAGTTTGGATTTAAAACATTATTTATAAATTCAAGTTTTATATACATACAATTTTACAGAAATATATATCATCTGATTTATTCTGTACTTTGATGGAACTAGATTTTCACCAATATCTTTAGTGTAAAAATATATTGTTAACATGCTAGCCTGTAAAATAAATAAATGAATACACACACATATTTTTCTCATAAGATTTCATGCAGCTCTTTAGCACTTTTAGCCATCATTTTGGATTGTAAAAGTCTTCAAATATCACCCTGAAATATGATAAAAAATTGAATGTGCAATGTATAGATCTTGGAAATCAAACTTGAGGAAAGAAAGTTCCATTAAAATGACAGTGTAGGCTCCTAATGCATTAAAAGATGATTTTTCAAGATGATTATTTGTAGATCAAATAAGTATTACTTATTTTGTCATCAGAATAAAGTCACTTTCTTATAACACTACTTTTTTGCCTAACATGTAACTCTTGACCATTTCTGATTCGGAGTATTAACTAGAATCAAGTGAATTGGATGGTTCTATTCAGAAACAAAACTGTGAGGAACACTTCCAAGAAATAAGTTAATTCTTATTATAAATTGCTTGTGTTTGTGTGTGTGTCTTATTTACCTACTGCAAATGGTTTTTTAATGTTGCTTTTACTACTGGTTATTATCTGTATTGTGTCTGTCTTAAAAACCATCCAAAGAACAATGTGATTAGATAGCATAAAATGATAAATGAATTTAAAAATATACATATTCATATGCAGGAATTGAGCACACACCAGAGGTGTGAAAAAAGGGAAAAAACAATTCTAACTAAACAAATGTTTGCCTTGTTTTTGTTTTTTTAAAAATTAAACTTCAGCATGATTGCTTTGAAATGGGCTTATTTGACCTCTTATGTAATGAAAAACTGTAGATCAGTTTTCATTTATATTTTCATTAGACTGGACAATCCTCCAGCTATAAATAAGGGTACATTTTCATTGCATTGGAGCTTCTGATCATCTGGAAAACCCTATCTTAAACGCCAAGATGTTATTCTCTTATTCCTATGTGATTTGTTTGGCAGGCACTATTGCTTCTGAAAGGCCTGTTAGGAAGAAAATGAATTATCTAACATTGCAACTGGGAGAGGACACTCTATAAACTTCCCATTTCAATATACCTTGTTGACATCCATTCGTAATTTTTCATTGTTAGCACTGGCAGCTCTTTCTGCTGCTTTCTTCTGGTGCTGTGGTCCCTTCCCAAAAAAGATGTAGTTCACAAAGGCATACTCCAGAAGAGCCATGAATACAAAGACAAAGCAGCCCATCAGATACATGTCAATGGCTTTCACGTAGGGAATTTTGGGTAGTGTTTCTCGCAGATGGGTATTAATGGTTGTCATTGTCAGCACTGTTGTAATCCCTGTAAAACATCACAAAAACCCAATTTAGTATGCATTTATGTTTCCTCAGTTTATCTGTGTGTAGACATATATGTATTTTTCCTGTTAATGTGCAAAGGTCATTGTAGTATAGGGTGCAACTTGGGTGTATCCAGAAAATGAGAGAGGAGTAAAAAGAAGCTTCATTCCTACATTCCTTGAGCTTTCCTTGTTTGATTTTGTTATGGCAGTGCTGAGAAAATTTTAAGTATATTAATTATGCATACCAACATCAAGGAAATGCAGTAAAATTTTGGTTTAGTGGTTCAGTTACAATAAATGAATTTACTGCCAGTTAATAGAGTAATGCTTGGTAAACTGAGGTTGTGTCAATTAAATTGAAGTTTTACTGCAAATGACAGCATTTATATCAATTATGCACAAAAATGATGCAAATCTGGGATAAATTGAGCTCTGTTAAAGCACAAGGGAAGTTCCTTCTCTGATGATTTGTTAAACAGAGATATTACCACAGGCAGGATGGAGGCTGCTGTTTTCCATTTCATATTTTTTTACAGTTAAGATATTTTTATGTGTTGTTTTCTGGTTTGATATGTTTGGTTTGATTGTCAGAAAAAAATATCTTGCTTATAGTTTAGGAGTTTGAAATGGAACTCATGGATTCTTGCATTGAAGGAACAGTTGACAGTATGTTTAACATGTATTACATTAGAGTAATATTTCTTCTTATAAACTATTAAGGCATACACCACTGGCGGATTTGGATATATTGGAAGATGCAGAACAAAAAACAATTCTAATAAAATTCAAAGATTCACTACAAAATAAACAGATAAATTTACATATATTATTTTTAAACTGCAAAACTGCAACATATATTAAAGCTGTGTAAAAAAATCAGAACTTTCTTGAAAAACAGTTTTGTTGGGAAGAGTCACTCCAATGTCTGAATTGTGTGCAATGATATGATTGCCATGCTTAGATTAGGATCTGGGAAACCCAACTCAGGACAAAATGAACCATGGTAGCACAGTGGTTAGATTGCAGTACTTCAGGCTACTTCTGCTGCCTGCCTGCAATTTAGCAGTTCAAATCTCACCAGGGTCAAAGTTGACTCAGCCTTCCATTCTTCCGAGGTGGGTAAAATGAGGACCCAAATTGTTGGGGCAATATACTGACTCTGTAAACCACTTAGAGAGGGCTGTACAGCACTGTAAAGTGGTATATAAGTCTAAGTGCTATTGCTAAGTGCTAAAGTACAGTGTTGATTTCAGGATTTTTGCTGTCTCTTAAATTATTTTGAACTGAAATTGAAGGATTACTGTGTGTATCATCTCATGGTCTTGAAACAGAAATAGAATCCATAAATAACAAACATTTTATTTATTTTTAAATTTATAAATGGTACCTTAATCCCAAAGAACCAGCAAGGTTAAATATTAAGTGTAGTAAAATATTCTAAAATTGAAATGCACACCAAGTGAAACAAAAAAACAACATTAAATACAATTTAATTTAAAATATCTGGGCAAATAAGTAGCTGAAAAAAGTAAAAAATCCCTACAAAACAAAAGTCTGTGTATTCTGATCTGAGATATAATCTAGCTACATTTTATCTCACCAGAAAATAGAAGATAGCATTAAATATATGAATAGGTCAGACAAATATTTATTTATTGGTATAAGATATAAAATTTCTCTTCATCCCTATAGGGAGCATGTGTCTTCCTCAATCTCAGGTCCTCTGCCAGAGACCAAACCAGCTTTCAGATATTATATGGACAATGCATCCTAGATTGTACTGAATATAGTTCCGCTCAGTTCTGACAGATTCAAAATAACAGCAAGCATCTGTGAGATTTCTTGCCTGCATAACAAGGAATTGTTATTCATACATAACAAACCTGAAATAGCAACAGGACAATAATACCTAAGCATGTAACTCCTGGCAATTATTCTTTATAGGATTATTTTTGGCAAATTTTGTAACTTGTAGAATTTGAAACAGAAATTAGCAAAAAAAAAAAAAAAAACTGAACCCTTGAACAGATAAACAGATAATCAGAGTTGGAAGGGACCTTGTAGGTCATCTTGTCCAACCCCCCATCCAAGCAGGAGAGCCTATACCATTTCTGACAAATGGTAGTCCAATCTCTTCTTGAAAGTCTCAAGTGATGATGCTCCCACAACTTCTGAGGACAAGCTATTCCATTGGTTGATCGTTCTCACTGTCAGAAAGTTTCTCCTTATTTACAGGTTAAATCTCTCCTTGTTCAGTTTCCATCCATTATTCCTTGTCTGGTCTACAGGTGCTTTAGAAAATAGCTTGACCTCTTCCTCTCTGTGGCATCCCCTCAAATACTGGAAGACTGCTATCATGTCTCCCCTGGTCCTTCTCTTCACTAGACTAGCCAAGCCCATTTCCTGCAACTGTTTGTTGTATGTTTTAGCCTCCAGTCCCCTAATCATCCTGGTTGCTCTTCCCTGTACTTTTTCTAGAGTCTCAACATCTTTTTTATAATGTGGGGACCAATATTGGATGCAGTACTCTAGGTGTGGTCTTACTAAGGCTTTATAGGGTGGTATTAGTACCTCACTTGATCTTGATTGTATCTCTCTGTTAATGCAATTTAGGATTGCGTTAGCTTTTTTGGCTGCTGCTGCATACTGCTGACTCATATTTAGCTGGGTGTCCACTAAGATTCCAGGATCCCTCTCACAGTTACTCTAACCTACTAGGTAGAGTATTGTTTTATGTTCATCTGATAATGACTGTAAGAAAAGGGCACTTGAATCTTACAGTTTTCTTAGGTAAGAAATTCTAGAAGCTACCTTCTATTGAATCGGAAGCTACCCTTCTACTGAATTAGCATATGGGTCTAATTCAGTATTGTTTCTCCTGATGAGCAGCAGAACCTCAGGTTTTGGATGGGTCAGAAGGCATATTTATTACATCTTCAATTCTCTTTTCAAACTATCTTTAACTCCCACACCATTCACAGCAGTTTTAAGATAGGGAGAGGTTGCCTTAAGATATAAGGCAAATAGACAAGACAGACAAGGGTTTAGGGTTGGAAGGAAAAGGAAGGGCAGATAGGCCAGTTCTTTAAGGCAGCATCTTATGTCTAATTCAGATCTGCTGATTTTGCTTGGCTAATTGATGGTTTTGAATAGGAGTCTTTTCAGCCTTATTACTTAGTCAGGTCTAGGGCTTTTTATCTGAAGTTGATGTTCCCTCCGTGAAATATGCAAGTTTCCTTTGTAATTTAAGTGATAAAATCACTCAAATGCAATAAGGAATCCAATAAAATTTTTCACAATATCAATAACATAATGCAATAGTGTAAAAGTGATCAGGATTAGAACAAAATGCGGTTTGTGTATTTTTGTGTATTTAATTTACAAGGGAACATATTTAATTTTTCAGCTGCAATATAATTAGTCAAACATGGAATCTTAAACTGAAGTTGCAATGAAACTGTGATAATGCTGCATCACACCAGAGTACATTTCATGTAGTCCAGATGAGCTCACATTTCATTTAACTACTTTAGATAACTTGGAACCAATTTACTTAAGTGCAAAGGCTGGCCAACAGGAAATTTTCCACTCATACAATCATGCAATCTAACTATGTTTGTATAGTTAACTTATTCAATGTGAATAAATAAAAAAATACCTACCTAAAGCCACCCTTGCAGCTGACGCATCATAATTAATCCAGAATGATACCCAAGACAGAATAGTGATCAGAATGGAAGGCATGTAAGTCTGCAGAATGAAATAGCCAATGTTTCTCTTAAGTTTAAAACATAGGGACAACCTGGGATAGTAACCTAGAATAAAAACAAAAGGTTTTCAAATGCTGTTTAAAAATCAGTATCATGTAAACAGACAATTCCAGACTATTGTGACTATTGAGATGAAAATGTCATTAATTTAAGAAAGGAACAAAGAACCTATGCATCTTAACTTATACCTAAAGAACTTTTCAAAAGGCAACAAACAGATGCAGTGAATTTGCACCTTGAGGGTGCGTCAGTACATTGCCTGCTTATTCAAATGGGTGAGATGTGGCAACAGTGCTTAGTCATAGCTTTCATAGAACACTTTTTAATAATAAAGAAAAAGTGGACTACTATCTGTAGTGTTATTTATTTGGTCACATGTGTAATCAGCACTCGCTATGCTTATGCTATTTTTACAGGCTAAGATTCTTAACCTTAAAATACTTTGGTAGCTGAAAGCCTTGACTGGCCAAGAAGTGTATCAGAAGTCAATCTCTATGGGTTATTCTGTTGATAACTATAGAATATGGAAAATAGTGACTTGGTGTGTAAAAGAGGTAGTGAGAAAGAACATGAATTTCCAAAGGAAAGGATGAAAAATTTAAGTTGTATATTTGTAAAATTAAAAGTATGGGGAAGGATTAGTAGATCTGAAAGAAATGGTGTCATGCCATGGACTAGATTAAATGCACGCATGTGGGAAAGTGAAGGCAAGAGTTTAAGTATGAATAAAAGGGTAGAATATACATTTTAGAAGCTATTTTGACATCCAAATTGTTACAAAATGTCTATGAGGAATAGGAATCCATAGGTTGGTGATACTTTCATGTTAAACTATAGTGAATAGTGAACAGTGAACAACGAGGATGATCATTGAAATTTAATTAATTTTAGTGAAAGTTTGAGAGAACTGGTGAAGGTCTCAAGGATAATAACTTGCCTCCAGAAGTTGTAAATGCTCCAACACTGAAAATTTTAAGAAGAGGTTGAATAAACATTTGTCTGAAATGGTATAGGGTTTTCTGCCAAAGCAGTGGGTTGGACTAGAAGATCTCCAAGGTGCCTTCCAACTCTGTTATTCTATTCTATTCTATTCTATTCTATTCTATTCTATTCTATTCTATTCTATTCTATTC